CCACTCTCCATTAGGACTAAACTTTACTGATGAGACTGCCTTTGTATGTCCCGCTAACGTGAACTTTAGAGCATAGTTTGGTTTTACTGGTGCAGGCTGTAAGAAAAATATGTATGAATGAGTTGAATAAATTCCAAATTTAGTATCTCAGTGACAAGCTCTGTATCAGACTGGGTCAGTACACAGTAATGGACTGCATGAATGTTCACTATAATAGAGATTCTAGCATTTACATTCCCCCCCCCTGCAATTCAAAAAACAACAAAACACACACCCTTGCTGTCTGGGGCCAGCAGTGCCTTACCGTTGTGTGCACAACACCAGCTCATCCTTGGTATGAATTTCATCCAAGCCAATAACAAACAGGTGAAAGTAATCCAACAGTCCAGCCATAAAGCGCTTGGTAGATCAAGATAATACCCTCGGTACTGATCTGTGTAGTGCTTTTAAATGTTTGCATTTTCATCCTTATCATAAATCAAATCACAGGCCAATTCCTCCATACCCCTAAAATACCTTTTTTTTTTCTCCCTTTTCACCCTTTGCGAAGGCTTTGTGGTTAGACAGTAACATCTCCTTTGAGCATCTGCAGGCTTCAAAGAACGTGAATTCCCCACTTTGCAACTACAATCATAGATTCACCAATTCTCCAGTCACCTCTAGACACTCCAAAGATACAACCAACCTGCCTTCCTAATGCTCAAAGTGACAAGAAGTATTTCGTTCGCAAGAACATCCACTAAACCAAAAAAAACCCCTAGCATGACAAAAGAGGCTGTACTCCATTCGCTCTTCCCATAAAATCCTCAGCACGTTTTCAGCTCGAGACAACAGCAGAAGCAGAAATCTGGAGAAGTTCTTAATCTATATTAGAATTCAATTCTCTAATTCTGGTTTGCCCGTTGAACATGCAGGTAGTTGCCGTGTGTATTTACACGGATATTGTCTGGAGCCCCACACACACCTTGCTCTGATTGGTTGAGGAAGAAGGAGTAGATTGTGTTTTGGTGGATTCTGCATCTGGCTTCTTTTCTTCTGTTGCCATGGTTCTGAAGCTGGCAAATGAGACTTATGGTGCTTGAAGGGGAGAATGAATGTGCTGCTTCAAAAGGCAGCCCTTGCCACAGAGAGGAAAACCGCACTGAAATGAAAACCTGGAAGAAAAACAAAATATTCTCATTAGCTGTCAAAAAGATTCTCAGCGGCTAGAAGAATGAGATTAGCCTAACTGCAGGTCACCTGAAGCCAGTATGGAAAACCATATTCTATATCTGTTTAGCAACACAGCAGTATTTCAGGCCCTCAGACCTGCTAACGTGCAAGACCAAGAACCCAAGCCATGGCCTTTTATCACTTCCTGGAAAGCTTTTTTCCGTCCTGCTCCATTCCACATAGAAATAAAGCAGAATAGCTTTCAGGTGTGGCAGGGTGTTCGTATCATATTCTCCAAATTACTTCTGACAAGTACTTAGTGCATAGTAAATACAACGGTTTGTACAAAAGGTGGAAGGAACAGTCCAAGGCCTCTTTTTCACATTTATTACGGTACAGAACACAAGACCATAACGAACACAAAAAATAACGGGCATTTCCACATCTTAAGACCCTGCTAGATTCCTTTCACTTCAGAACGCCAGCATTTCAGTCTCATACTTCCCTCCTAAAGGGTATGAGCGTCAAATCAAACCCTTCTCCGCCCGAGACTTTCACCTGACTGAAAGCCAGCCTTGTATTAGTCTCACCAGACTTGCTTTCTGTAACAAAACCCGACGAAGTGCTGTGCCAGTATTCGGTAATCAGGGCTGATGCTGCAGAGGGAACAATCTCCATTGCAGCTCAGCTACATTTCAGCTTAGTAACAGAATAACCTCCAGCTCACACTGTAAGGATTTGTCTTCAAAGCATGCTCGCAATATCCTACCATTCTTTTTGCAAGTGGCAGCAGATTTGGGAGCAATAGCATTTGCTCTTCCAGCGACTACTGGCATTTTAAGCATCTCCTTCTCGGAAGGGGAAAGGAGGGCACAGAGCAAAGCGCTACTAGTTGCCTGTCTGCTTTAATAAGCCCTCTCCACAGCGTGGATAAATCACCGGTCGCAACAATAAGAAAATTAAAGTTTTCTAATGCAGATCAGATTCTTTTCATCTGGAACTAATCTGGGAACTTCGGCGAGCACGCATCCTGCTGCCGGCGCCCAGCTCTGCCTGCCCCGCAGCATCCTCCCGCACAAACCCCAGCGCCGGCACCCGGCTCCCACGCCCGAGGGGTTCCCTGCAAACGCCCAGCAACCGGCACAG